CGCAACTCACTTGTGAAGCGGTGTGGCAGTGCCGAATCCGCAGGAACGGTCGTCTGCATGACCATTCCAGAACGTCGAAACGCCAAGTTTGTTGCCTGCACCCCGCCTTCCTTGACATTGAAGACATCGTCATCCTGACCATCATCCCCCCCCCGAAATTGTACCGCGTGCAGGAGGTCAAGCTGGGTCCTTGCATCATCCCGGATGAACCGGTTGGCAAGCATGTCCTAGAGCAAGTTGCGGTCATCAAGGACCCCGATGGGTACACTTTTGAGGTACGGTACGGTACGGTACGGTACGATACGGTACGGTATGATCGTTCTTGTTTCTCGTTCTAAGATATCTTGCTCGATGTCGGGACAGGTTTTGACAGGCATCGGCTCCGTCGTACTTATTCGATGGGTTGTTGGCTCGGTGTAGGCGTCGACCGGACACAGACCGCGAACGAGCCGCCAGCGTCAGTTGGGCGATTTCTAAGGGTATTTTTTTTTGTGTTTTCTTTGGTTGCCGCATATCGCCGACCAATAGAAAAACGGTAATTCCAGCTGTGCCAACGGACCAGGTAGTGCGTTTTTTCCAAACGACGTAACTTGGGAAGCAAGTGCGCAAGCTTGCAAGGCGTCCGGACCATGGTTATTAATTCATCCTCAGGAACAGGGTCTTCGCTCTCCCTCAGCCTTCTTGCTGGCTCCAGCTCTTGATATTTGATACGGTTGGTACCCTTGGATGTGTACGATGAGACCAATGCTGTATGCATTTCGTCGTTTCAGTTTGTGAACTTCTCTATGCGTACCGGAACCGATTTCGATCATCACTCCTTCGTCGTTAGTTGTTGGAACGCCTTGTTCCCTTTTCTTTCCCTGTTCTTTCAGGTCAGCGAGTCCGCATACCGCCGGGATCCGGTATCGAAGGTTTCATTGTTGACCCTCGACATGGAGAAGAGCATCGACTTCTACCAAGATGTGAGGAGCACTGTTCTTACATCTCCCTTCGTTGTGCAAGGCTGAGTCATGTCATGCCGAAAAGAGTATGCGCTTGTGCGTTAAGGCTTCATGTCCAAGTTTGAATCGTTTTTGGCGGTTGTTTACCTTCCTGAGAACAGGTGCATTTGGCATATCATGTGGCTGTGTTTTCGCTGCTTTCATGAGTTGTTGCTGATGTGGTGAAGGGAAGCGAGTTGCTATGTGTTGGTTAGAGCAGTACCACTCGGAAATATTACTTGCCACTATTTCTTTCATTTGGCGAGCTACGCATCCTTGTATTGTGCACCGTACAGCGTGAATGGAATAAGGGGGAGGTCGCGAGCGAGGACAACGAGGGTTGCCCCCGTACAGCCGTGACGGCATCGCAGCTACTCCTCTACTTGTGCATTGTGTATCGCCAATACGCCCTTGCAAGCATATCGACTTCACAATCGACGACGACAATCGACATTGATGTCGTTCTCTCGAACAAGGCATGGAGACAATCACCGCGTATTGTATGGTGGAGAGCAAAGTATCCTGGATCCTGTATGACTTTCATCCCGTTTCACCACTTCCGGTGCATCCAAACACCCACAAAGTTGTGAGACTGACGTCTCAGGACTAGCTGAGTATCAACGTAGACTATCGCGTGGTGTCAGGAGTGCGTTCCCTCGCTGACCACCTCTCCCGCCCCATGCTATCCCGCCCAATGTACCGCCGACGCTCTTTACCTGTCACTACATGAAGGCCTTGGGCATGACCCTCCTAAGGAGGCGATCCCTTTTGCCGCAGAAGACGCAGCAAGCGTGCTGGATGGGTTACGGCGAGGAGGACGACTCCACTGTTCTGGAGCTCGTTTACGAGTACAACAGAGAGAAGATCGACCGCGGGGACGGCTACGGGCAGGTGCGTGCTTGTATTCAAGGTTATTGCTCCTTGCTTGCAGGGAAGAGCTTGAGCTCGACGTTTCAAGTCTCGACGAATGTGGAGTCGCGGCAGAAGTGCATAGGTCTATGGGGTTTTGGCTCGTAATCCTAAACACCGCTTGTCCTTCAGACAACCCCCTGGCTTTCACCGCCAGCGTAGCGAGTAGAATTAGAAGTATACCTGTACCGTTCGTGTTTTGTTGTTTGGGACAGTTTTGTCATGCGTGCGCTGACCTGGAAAGATTTCTGTTTACATCTCCTGATTCAGTCTAGGAGGCGTCGATCAGTTCGCTGGTTTCTGCTTCCTTGGCCACAGCAGCTCCATGGTTGGCTTACTCTCTTGGTTTGCTCTCTCTCTCTTGTGTGTGTACCCGTTTGAGCAGATTGCGGTGTCTACCCCGGACGTGTTCGATGCGGCTGCCGCAGTGGAGAAGACCAAATACGATGTGAGTGGGCCTCCAGTGGAAGTCGGAGTTATGTTCCGCTGGAGCGCAGCGTCGATCGGTACCACCTGTGTTGCTGTTGCCGCGGCTTGATAACCGTGCAAAGATTAGTGGATACCCCGAGCTCCTTTCGTGTTTCTTTACTTAGTTCGTTGTTTCCCAGGAAGTGCGCAAGCACCGTCCGTAGATATGGAGTCAGGGGACTGTCGTTTTCCTTAGGAATTGGGCCTTTCTGTCCATGATGTTTGTTCCGCAGGTGTTGATAAGGTTCATTCCTGTGAGAGGGCATATTGTGTCGTATTGCCTCGCCCCGGAATGCACGCAACCAACGTCCCAAAGGGCGACCTTGTGCGTTGGAAGAAGCTCATGGCACGGTGACCGATACAAGGCCGGGCCAGGTCGTTTTATGTTGTGTTGCTGCTCGCTGCACACTTGACTCTCGAAAGGATGAGGATAGGTGCTCGCACAGGGTAGCACTCAGAAAATGTGGTTTCATGGAAACAGTCGGTGACGCTGTCTGCTGTCTGAGCCCGCCACACGCTGGGCGTTATGTATTCTGCCCTATGACGTAGAACGGCCGAAGAACTGATTCTTTCTCTGTTCTGTTCTCGGTTGATACAAGGGTATCGTGGAATGTGAAAGAGGAGCGTCTTTGCCTTGTCTAGCTGCGCTTCAGGACGTTGTCGTCGGCGGTCGTGAAAGCATAGGCACGTCTGTTCTCACAAGCTCCTGAACACAAACTCGTATCAAATACCAGTAGATGACAACTTCATCTGACGTGAATGATTGCGTGGATGGTGATGGCTCGAAAACAGGTGACTCGCGCACCGGGACCCGTTCCCGGGATCGGTACCAAGATCACGGCCGTCACGGACCCCGACGGGTTCAAGACGGTGCTCGTGGACGAAGTCGACATCGAGAAGGAGTTGGAGGAGGAAAGCGCTTGATTTACAGCCGTGACTTCTGGACTGCTGCTGTCGCACGTTGATAAGGGTACCTTAGAAGGCGATCTTCACGCTGACGAGGGATAGAATGATAGAACGCGGTGTTCCGCACCTCTCGCGTGCTTGCCTCCAGCAGTTTTCTGGAAACAGCCTCTGGAAACGGTGCGAAGTAAAAATGGCCTCGGGTTCATGGTGTCTTCATGGAAGGAAAGCGATGAGTCTTGCATTATGTTGTTTGTGAAAGGATAGTGATCGGTCCTTTGGGCTGTTTGATCTTTTTATGATAGGTCTCGACACAAGTCAAGGGCGTTTTTGGCACGGTCTTCACCCTTTCCCGTTTACGGAACCGCAAGTCAAGCCGGTTTTGTCTTGGTGTTGGATGCCACCGGTGCTGGGCAGCGGAAGGGAACATGTTTTCGGCGTGCACGCTGGTGGGGCCATGCTGATGGACAAGTGTTCAACGCGCATGTGTATCTGCCTCTCGTTTTTCATGGTTCCCCAACGCGATCGTTAGGCAGCCCCTCCGACTCTCCAAGTGCTCAGAAGCATGTTCGAGGATGGAGCTTTGTGACTTTTCATTCCAGGAGGGTTCTAGTCTAGACCATTCACTCATACAATGTTCTCCACCGCCGTCTGCCTTGCGCCCCATGCCCCCAAAAACTTTTATTATACATGTAGCAGGAATCCCGCTCGATGTGCGGTTGGGCTTGTACTGGTAGGCACCCATTGGCGTCGCCCATCATGAAAGCCTGATCCTTTCTAAGCCCACCCGTTCTGTTTTCCCGTAGGCTGCAGGGAGGGCCCCCAATGCTTTCTCACATCGGTCAGTGTTATGCCCTCAGGCTGGTTTGTGTCCAATGGGCGCGATCCAACGGATAGTCAACTTCAGGATCCGCCTGTCGATGAGTACGATCCTCAAAGATCTTGACGTATATCATACCGCGCGGAAAACTTTCAACTCTGCGCAAGTGATCCGAAACTCTCACTGCGTATGCATCTACACCAGTTTGCTGCAAGAAGCCCCCCTCAGACTGCAGACACTGCGCGTGCGTGGGTGGAGCATTTTTTTCCCCATGACTGCAGTCTTTTTATCTCGGTATTATCGGGGAGACCTCAGAAGGGAATAGATTCGGCACGAATCTGGATCCTCTCCCGGGTGTGATGCAGCGTTGCCCGAAGGAAAATCAACCCTGGGTTTTCTCTAGCCACGCACGAAGCCACGGGCCGAAATATGGAAGTATTTCGTTTCGCAGACTGGCCACATGTATGTCATGGGTCTGGAATATGCTCAGTTCTCAGGGGACGTTTTCAAAACGAGGTTTTCCCGTGTACATAAGTTTCATACAGGATGTCGGTCAATCTACAGACACAACACGATTGATTACAGCTTGCCCCGTTGGCCATTAGAAACGGGAAAAGCGACCCCACACGCCAACAATTTCGAAGCTCGATATCCTCCACGATGAAAATATTGCAAGAATAAATTATCATTTTTCTTCGGAGAGGCCTCGACGAGATTTGCGCCCTTTCTCTTACTGTCGAGAAGCCGTGGAGTCATCAAGCATTGAAATTAGATCCAGGGTGTGATACTTGTGTCACCTCACCGAACGAAAACAGCATTAGTCCTGACGTCCTGACAACAGTGTCTCGGCCTTGCCCAGAACTGCGTCAGTTTCAACGGTCAAGTATACAAAACAGGACTCCCGCTACGGCCGAATCCGGCCACATAAAGGCGATGCCAATGCCCGCAAAGATAGCCAAGGAGACCCGACAAGAATCCGGACAGAGTCGCACGGTTTTCGTTTTTCCGATGCTGATTCAGAATCAAACGTAGACGCAGTTTAGTGCGCATGGGGCACCAGGAAAGCGAAGGCGTACAGTCTACGCACGAAAGTCTATTAGTCTCGGGGTGCACATCGCTCCGTGTTCGCTCATCTTGCGGAGAATACGGGCAGAGACTAACAGCGTCCACAACATTATCTCCTAAGAGAAGCGCGAGATATTTCGCATGGCCATCTCGTTCGTTCGACAACAGACTAGCTCGTGGTTTACAGTTCGAATCAGATCGTCGCGAGTTGTTCGTCCCATCGCCAGTCTACCCCACCTTTCGGCATGTTCATGTGTTGTGTTGGACCCAGGAACTCTCCACCAATAATCCACCTTCCTGGTATTCCGTTCAGTTGCCAACGCGAGAAGGGCTTCTATTCGCAATCCCTTCCATCTTTACTATGTAGATACGACTGAGCTGTTCGTATCCCAAGATGAGCCCAGAGGGTTAACGTTTCACACGTTTCCAGGATTGCGCCTGAAATACAAATCAGCCGCTGTTTTTTCGTGTGACCTTCGAATCTGCCGAGAAACATCCCGCGCAAAACAAGAAATGGACACGTGGCTCTACAGACGTCATTTCACATTCGTGACTCCACATACTTTCCCTTAAGCCAGCCGTCTTCCAAGCATGAACAACATCCGAAAGACATTCATCCACCTGCCCCCTGGCGGAGGGCTCCCGCCGCGTCAACTTGGCTCTCATGTGCAAGTACGACAGTACGACAGAGAGGTTGCCACAATGCATGATGACCGCACTACCCGAAACGATCCACAACCTTGCCAACATCAAAACGCCACCTCGCCCGGCCCTCGACCTCGACACGCCAATGGGCCTATATGTGAAAACAGGGCCTGAATGGAGAACAAAACCCAACACATGACCGCATAGTCTAGAGCCGAGAGCAGTGAACACCGACACGCTGTCCCGTCGAACCCTGCGCACCCGTTCAGTCATGTCATATCTCACCGCAGTCCGAACAGTTGGCAAAGTCGGCCTGAAGCAAGGCCTACGCCATGTGACGCAAGCTCTGAAAGCGGACAGAGCAACCCCATTTGCACCCCAAAACCTTTCAATTAAACCCAAGCACGAACCCTTGAACGGAGTACAACAACAACAAAGTCGTGTAGTTGACAGCGACACCGATAGATGGCCAGTTCCTTCGCAGTAGCCAAACACGCACATCTGTAACAAGTAGCCAATATAGAAAATAATCGCAAACTAATTTACTCCAACCTTTTGGCCCAAGCCACCCCTTGCGCGCTGTCTGGATACAAAAACCCAGCACCCTCCGAAGCGGTTTCCAATCATGCGGACGGCCGTAAAACCACCGCTCTACGCATGCCCGGAAAAGAGCATAAATCTTCCACTGCGTGTCACCCTGGCCCCAGTGAGGTTGAGCAACCAGCACAGGTATCACAGTTTCCGAAAGGTGGGTGTTCCAAGGGCATCAATCATTCTCCTTCCCGCTACAGAAGAAGCGCCGTCTACTACATCGTATCAAACTGTTTCAAACTGCCACGAACGGCAACATCAGCGACCAAAAACACCCTTCGACAACGTGGAGCGCCAATTTCTTGTCGGCTCTTGCGAATAACACTGCCAAGCGTTCACCCAGCGAAGACAAGCTTTGTTGACCATATCAAGTGCCCAACGACAACTTGAAGATGTAGCCTCGGCAGCATGGCAGCGAAAATGCACCCCCCGGGCGAAATTTATGTCAATCAGCTGCTTAGACGCAGTGCCGATTGCCGTTCAAGTGTTATCAGCCTTGCATTAATGACCGTTGACGAATAGTCGTCCGCGTAAGCACGCGACTGCTGTGCTGTGCATCGATCAGGCGTTCATAGCCGTGGCCATGGCGGTCTCGGCTGCCTTAGTCGCTTCGGGGAACTTGGCTGTGTACACCTGATGGAACGCGAAACAGGTGAAGAACAAACGTGCCAGGGGAACATATTTAGAAGAGGAGCTCAACCGAAATTCGTCGACACATCTTGACATCAAGGGTGCCACTCAGTCATCCCACTTAGGCCGACTACACTTTTTTTTTTGACAAATCAAAACAGCATGCCACCCGTCGGACCCGATCGCCTCCATTCGTTGCAGGATACTGGTGTGGGATCAAAATATCGAACTCAGGCCACGCTTCCAAACAAGCAGTAACCCCCACGATTCCATGCGATTTCGTCCCAACTACCACGATTTTTCTTGTAGAATCCCGTCCCAGCTCCATATCCAGGTTCCCGCACCCGCCCTTGAGAACCCGTCACCAGATGCACCCACACGCCGTAGCAAATACCCATGCGGCAAACCCAACTTCTTGTGAACAGGTCCAACGCGTTTTCACCTTCGGGTTGAGGTACTCTACGAGGACCATCCTTCCGGCGAACCAGCGACCGTTCAGCATCTCCGCAGATGCCTGGTGTTATTTTTCGTAATTTTTGTTAAAAATGGGGGGTAAGCGTTCGTCAGACGTACTTATTTACGACAAAGTTACACGGGTTAGGCAAACTGACTTGAGGCACGTGGTTTCACCTCTGGCAAAGATGAAAACGGGAGCAAGTCCAAAGTATACACAGGTTGGTACTACTTGGGTGCAAAGACGTGTCAAGACCCATCCTCATTACATGCACTGCCATTCTCTTGCGTTTACCAAAACATTGTGCTCCGATGGTTGTTACTAACAAAACCCTACAGAATATACACCAACAAACACCAATAAAGGCAAAGGTGTGAAGCGACCTAAAACTCATGCGGCACGCTTGAAGAAGGGTTGAGGCAACAACACCATTGCTATTCCTGTCGTAGAGACCCTCACCACAGCGGCCCCGGTAGTGCTGAACATCACATACACCAAGCCTCCGGGCTGCCTGGACTCCACGTAGCTGTGCATCACAGCCCCATGCTTTGAGCACTCCTGCATGGGTTAATCAGTTGAGCATCGACGGGCTACCAGTTAGGGGTGAGGTTGAGGTTTGGGATGGAGCAACTCAACAGAGGAACGAAAAGCAGCAGTTGCAACGTGTACGGCCCAAGCTGATGTCTTGAGGTTGGAATGAAACATCGGGCGGGAAACGAGCGGCAGAGAAGCAACCAGATTTGTAGTTGAACACACGACAAAGCTCGTGAAATGGCCACCACGTGATGATTAGAGAGTAAGATACACGTAAGCGGACGTCGAATCTAGGATTGATAGCATGAAGCAGACCTCAATCCACTCGTTTAATCATCGTCTGTGTGCTCCCAGTTCATTCCAGTCTCCATCAAAAGAATCCAGAACACATAAAACACAAACCGCCGTTGCAAAACGTTGCCCAACAAAGCTCCCAGTTTGAACACACTACTTGTACGTACGACCGAAAACCCAGTAACAACCGTCTTGTGTTGCGCTGCGTCACCATCGTCACCATCGTCACATCACCCCTCACCTCCTCCATCTCCTCCTTGATGTCAAGCTCCCACCCCTCGTCGGTCTCCGTGGCAGGGTCGAACATGTTCTTCACCAGCAGACAGAAGGTAGGGGTGCCGACGACGGGGGGCGCGGCCGCCGCCGGAGCGGAAGCGGCGGCGGCGGGTACAGCGGCAGCAGGAACGGCAGCGACACCGGGGACGCCCGCTCCCATCCCCGGGAGCATGGCCCCTGCACCGACACCAGGGAGTCCGGCGGCGATGGCGGGGTGGAGAGGGCCTTGCCCCGTACCTTGTCCAGCCGCCTGGTGAACGAATGTGCAACAATGGTGACATGGGGGGGGGGGGGA